GATACTTGCTGAATGTTCCTCCTCGCTGAACTAACCTAACCTAAGCAAACCTAACCCAACCTAACCTAACCCAATCTAACCTAAACCAACCTAACCCAACCTAATGTGACCTAACCTAATCTAACTTAACCCAACCTAACCTAACCGAAGCTAACCCAACCTAACCCAACCTAACCTAACCCAACCTAACGTAATCTAACACAACACAAATTAGGCACTGAGTATACTGTGAACTTCACATGACATTAATATATCTGTGACCTCTAAATGATGTGTGCAATGTCACATTCCTACAGTTCTTTATGTATATGCGTGAGAAATAGTACTTCGAATGACCTTGCAAAGTTTGAGGCTTCTAATTCTCAAATAGTTTGCGTGATCTTGTGGTCTTGACATGACCTTCACCTATCCGTGACCTCATTTTAACATGAGTATGGTCAACCAGGTATTTAAGATTTAGCGGAAATAAGCGTGAGAAGATATGACCTTGAGAATTTTAAAGACCTGTATCTGGCAAACTATTGGGCCGATCTTATCGTGACTTATATTTAGCCTTGAACTATACGTGACCTCATGTTAGCAAGAGTATGGTCAACCAGGTATTTACGGTTTGGCAGATATAAGCGTGAAAATATATGACCTTCAGAATTTTAAAGACCCTATCTGGGAAACTACTGTGCCGATTTTGTCGTGTCTTCCTTATGACGTTAAAACTAACCTAAGCTAACCTAACCCAACGTAAACCTAACCCAACCTAACCTAACCCAACCTAACCTAATCCAATCTAACCTAAAACAACCTAACGTGACCTAACCTAACTTAACCCAACTATTGGGCCGATTTTCACGTGACTTCGGTAAGACCTTGCCCTGTACGTGACCTCATTTTGACATGAGTATGGCCAACCAGGTGTTTAAAGTTTGGCAGATATAAGCGTTAAAATATATAACCTTGAGAATTTTAAACACCCGTACCTAGGAAACTAGTGGGCCGATTTAGTCGAGATTTCCGTACGACATTGACCTATACGTGACCACATTTTGACATGAGTATTGTCAACCAGGTATTTACGGTTTGGCAGTTATAAGAATGAAATTATTTGACCTTGAGAATTTGAAAGACCCCTATCTGGGAAACTAGTGGGCCGATTTTGACGTGACTTCTGTATGATCTTGACTTATACGTTACCTTATTTTGACATGAGTATGGTCAACCAGGTATTTACGGTTTGTCAGATAAAGGCGTGGAAAGATATGACCTTGAGAATTATAATGACCTGTATCTGGCAAACTATTGGGGCGATTTTGTCCTGACTTTTCCATGACCTTAGACTAACAGTGACCTCAACGTTACGTGAGAATAATCACTCTGATAACTACAGTTATGAAGTGTGAGGACAACAAATATTGTACAAAGTATAATTTTGAAATATCAGCGGCACGGGTATCACGTAACCTAACCTAATTCAACACATACTGATCTGACCTGCCCTAAACTAACCTAACTTAACCCAAACTAAACTATCGTAACCTAACCAAAGCTAACCCAACCTAACCTAACTCAATCTAACGTAACCTAACCTAACTTAACCCAACGTAACCGAACCTAACCTAACCCAACCTAACCTATCCTAATCTAACCCAACCTATCGTAACGCAACAAAACCTAAATAAACCTAACCGAAATAGCCCCATCTTTTGGAATGTTATTGCCCTGACTTAGGCAAGAATGTAAACTATAAGTGACTCAAGATAACAGGAGTATGGCCACACAAATTAATCTTACGCGAGCTTTTCATTTTAATCTGTTGCAGTTGTTCCCATGTACATTACTATGAAGCCTCTTCAAAGGACTTTAAATCATATTCAAGTTGTACATTTTATTATACTGGAGCAGAGCGCTCCTTTCGGAGCGCCTCGGGGGGGGGGGGGCAAGCGAAGATAAGTACCACGCCAGAAGACGTAGGGGGGAATGGAGTTATATACCCACGCGTTCTTAATCTTGGCATTAGATGGAGGTGAGTGATCAGCTTCGGCGGTTTTACTTCCGATTCTTGCTGAACAGGAAGGAGGCTGAGCGGGCCCCAGAGCCTGACGAGACGCGATGTCAAAGACAGATATCTCTGCCGTCCCGGCATTCTAACCCGGGGCGCCCATGAATGTTTATAGGATATGGCGACCAAACGATGAAGATTGAAGTAAAATAGTTCAAACTCTTTCGTAGAGACTGGAATTTATGTCAGTGAGATTACACGTTTTGATATGCAGAAGTAAATTCTTTATTGTTTCACTACAATACATGCACATCAAGGCCAATGTGAAATTGCACAGAATGCATTTGGAAAATATATGTACTTCTTTCTTCTCTTGCTAGAGGTAATAGTCCGTGGGCACAATAAAGTAGGCCAGCATTTGTACCGGTCCGTAAGCATCGCCTTATGAGTGCGTTTGAGGGACTTAGAAGTAAAATCTCTGCACAGTAGCTGGAGGTGAGTCTGTAGCTTCGCGCTCTGACTGGCCTTATCAATGTTTTATTATTTATTTATAGAAAGCAGGGTGAAATTATTTCTATCCTAGCCTCGAATCGAACCACAGTCCTGTCTACCCAGTCTGCTTGTTCGAGGATGTTACAAAGAAAAGGAAACATATGTTAGAAATGGGACTAAGCAATCCAGTATTTTCTTTGTGTGTTCCGACATTTTTAAAACAACGATCATGAAATCACTCGCATGCCAGACTAGTCTTCACGTGCGGTAATGAAGCCCGGCACGGAAACACTTTCGTCAAGGTTCCGTAGTGTAGTGGTTATCACGTCTGCTTTACACGCAGAAGGTCCCCGGTTCGATCCCGGGCAGAACCATGTACTTTTTATAATTTTATATTTTACATCACTTACAGAGTGGTGGCTGTAATAGCATATAACGTGAACGCAAATGTTCCAGACGACGCTATTTGGACTGAAATGGATGATTTTTACTTGTAAGATTTGAGGTTTCCACAGCAGTGAATATGTCTTCTGGGTTGTTGCGCTGTGTAGTCTGGTCGCTGTTAACCAACGTTTCAGAGGTCATACTGCCTCCGTCATCAGGGCGATGAAGATTTCTGTCTTCTGGGTTGTTGCGCTGTGTAGTCTGGTCGCTGTTAACCAACGTTTCAGAGGTCATACTGCCTCCGTCATCAGGGTGATGAATATGCCAATTGGGTGGGGGGGGCTAGGTTTATAGGAGCCGGACCGTGAATGTAGTAGTCTGCCCCGAGCCAATAGGAGCAAGTGTCAAATCAGGCGTGGGTGTGGTACTGGCATTGTTGTATTTATGCTTCGTACTGTACTCAGATCTGTATTAGTGTAGTATATTTTATGAGAAAATCTGCCCTCCGTCTGTTCGTCGGTGACGTGTTTCGGCGGCTTTAAGGTAGGACTCATAGCTGTTGCATATTGGGAACTAAATTACATATTTTTTTGGAATTTCTGCTAGCGAGGACTGCACATAGACTTTCAAATAATTTTTGTGATGTTTACCTAATGTTGTTCGGACCATTAAATCAAACAGAATGAGATATGTGGCATACATAGCACTAGTATGAGGAATAACAAATATAAAACTTTTGTCATAAAGCCTCAAGGGAAGAAATAAATTAGGAGACCTGCACGTAGATGGAATAAAATTGGCCAAACATGAAAACGGATCTTGGGTAAATAGAGTGTGAAGGTAGGAGTAGTCCTGGATAGGTTAAAATGGCGGGCGTTTGTGGATAATGCAGCTAGCCTCCGGGTCCCTTAAAGAGAAGCTCCTTGAATAGCACGCATCTCCATGCATAACGAAGCCAAACAGTGATGCAAATACGTATGTATAATGCCGACATTACACCGTTCGTATGCACTGTCAAGAGCCTTTTTAGGCAGTTACACTATAAAATCAGGAAAAGACTAACAAAATTCAGAATAGAACTCTTCTCGTTCAACTGATTGAGCTCACTCTCTGCAATGTGTTCAACTCTTCCTAATGAACACATATTCCATCCTGAAGACGGGAAAAATACACTTTCCGAAACGTTGTGTTCCTTTGTGGGCATGGATGAGGCCCAGAAATCCGGTTATACTGCATTGTAATTCATCATATTTAGAATCCTTTACGGCTAAAGATGACCGTTGTCTGGGATGTTGCTCCGTGTAGTCAGCTAGAAGTTTTCCAGAGTTTCAGAGATGTTCCATCTGCCTCCATCATCACTCTGATGATGATAGAAATACTTCAGAAGAGTGTCATCTTCATTCTCGCTACTGTGGAAACCTAAATTCTCACCTATGCAAGTGATAACTGATTTCTTGATCTTAATTTAGGAGTATTAACAAACTCCATGGAGCAGAGTCGTTCTTAGGCAGCTAATACGCCTAATCAATAACTTAGCCAAGAAAATCCTTGCCCTGTGTTCAGGGAAGTATTTAAACGTGAGGAGGGTGCAGTGAATGATTTAGGATATTACATGTATAACGAGGAAGTTCACGCGTATACAAAACACAGTATTGATACAGTCGTGAGAAATCTCGGACGTTACGTTGAGGAGGAGACAAGAAATGTTGACACAATAGATCTTCCCATCTGTGGGACGAACACTATTTCTTTTGCAAAAACAGTTTATGGTACAGTGATAACCTTTGTAATTTATCTGCATTCTTTATACATTTCTTGATAATCATGTATGGCATCCGCTATATTTTGAACTTGTAGTCTTCCTTCTATATATGTATTTATTTGGTGGTACAATATGGACGTCCTAGCAGTCTTATCCTTATATTTTTTAATATACGATACACCCAAAAGTATTTCAAATTAATGGGTTTTTTTAATTATATCTAATGATGAACTACTCTTTAGAAATGGACCTATTTTACTTAGGTCAATATCAGATATCGTCGAAATTCGTCCCCAAGTTTCGGACTTGAAACATGCGAACGGAGACATGTGCGCGAACTTCCCATTATGTGTGCTTCGTGCAAATAGCTCTTGTAGTCAGTCTCTTCCTGAATAATTATGCAGAATTTATAGAATTAGCTAATAGACTAGCTCTTGTAGTCAGTCTCTTCCTGAAGAATTATGCAGAATTTATAGAGTTAGCTAATAGATAAGTGCTTCCATTGTCTATACAGTGATTTCCATTTTATGAATATGGAATCATCGCTCGTCCTCTGTGTGTGCGTGCGTGTACGTAGGTGTAGTTGTTCTATATAGTGTATCCTGCGTAATCTAATTGAAGAGAAGTGTACTGCAGGGCGTGGTTTTCAGTACCACACCCAAACCCTGGAGGGATTCATACTTTATAATTACAAATAAACTTACCCTTTCTCATCTCACCAGGCTGTATAATTAAGCAGTGTGCGAACTCTTGCCCAAAGACGTTAAAATTTGGATTGTGCTATGTATCTCAAGTTTATTCAAAATGTTTTCTGTTTCATTGCTTATACATCGTAGACTGAGAGAATGTGGTTAATTGGCATGTCTGTAGTAGAAAGTGGTCGTGATATGTGGGCTAATTCTACTATCCTTGTAATTTACATGGACAGGATGGGGGAACTACAAAACTTTACCGAGCGAGGAAACAAACGGGCAGCTCTCGATTGGGAAACAGAAATTCTAATCACAGCGCTTGAAGTCAATTCTGTGCCGATGTCTGTAAATTTATAAAATGCAGGATTCAGACTCGTAGAATGCGTGACAGCGTTGATCATGAAAATTTTAACAATAAAAATTATCTGCTGTTACAACGACGTTTATCTGTCATTACAACTTTTTTGGTAGAATTTTCGGACAGGTCCAAGAGAACTTTGGTGTAGTCTTCAGTTGCTCAACCCCAGAGATTTCACTTCCTTCGCGCAAATGCCGCTCTAACCATCACAGTCCCTATATATTCCCTGAGATTCGGAGACCCTTGCTCTCCGAAAAAACCTGCACCAAATATCCTTTCATATCCTTCCGCATACCCAAATTTATATCTCAAGCTGTAACCGCACGCAAGCCGGGCACGCTACTGGGTTTGATCCCGAGTCGTGTGCGGAAGGGCGGTTGCTCTAGCTTCATGGTTTTGTCCAGGGTGGTCCAACTTTTTCTTTCCCTCGGGCCAAGAATACTTTTTCCGTTAACCCAAGGATTAAGGAACCCCTCCTGGCATTTTTTAAAACTAGTAGCAACATTTTCATTGTATCAATATATAACAGGACAGGGTTATTATTCTCAATGATTATGCTAAGCGTAAGAAATGCAGGATACAAGACCGGTTTTAGAACGATGTATCTAGTTCACAGTACGGAAAGTGTTAACTGTGCAGTTGACTCTCTACCAGGGAATTTGTTACAAAACATTGAAATATATAGGGGGGATGTGGTAGTGGCAACATTTTGGAGATTTCAGGGAAAAACGAATAAATATGCAGAATCAGTCACCCCCAAACTGGCGTGGAATTACTGCATTAACACTGATGTAACCGATTTGGTACACTACAGTGGGCCTTACAGTCAAATTCTTAAATAATAATAAACTCAACAAAAATGTTTCCAGATTCAGCTGTAATATGTATTTTTTCGATGTAACATACACGCCTACCAATAAACAACATACTGCAAGATGCGGACAGTTGGCGACACTCCATTGTTCAGTCCTGCAAGAGAAAGGCAAAATCTTGTTATTACAGTCCCAGGTTTCAGACGTGGCGATTGCCAATTAAATGCGCAATGGGCACAAGATTAAGTGTGTGGGTTCACTAATGAAGACATGTGAGCGAGTCTGTTTCTTAGTTTTAGTGTGTCACCATCTAGTTATCAGCACTTTGTTCAAGCACACATAACACACCCGATTTCCTCTCATTCGCAAACCAACAGCTACGACTAAAAAAATAGACAGAGGCATGAATGTATATGACACCTCCTTTCGTTTCTGTAGACATGTCAGTCTTCGTATTTATACATATTTGAAACTTACATAAAAATGAAGCATAAAAAAGGCCCACCCTAACAGCAGACCAAAATCAAGAGGGTTTATTGCAACAAAATTACTTTTACAAAACATAATTCATGTACATACTTCACAATAAATTTTCTAAACATCCTCATTCTCGAACATGGCTGTCTTCTGTGTTGTAGCACCCTACGGTCATCACCCTGATGATGGATTCAGCAAATGCCTCTGAAACGTTGGTAAACGTCTACCAGATTACACGGTCGTACAGCCCAGAAGGCAATGATGTCGTGAGAACATCAAATCCTGCATCCTCATTCTTTCCCCAGTAACAGCGAATTATGTGGAAACGGTGTACATAACCAATTCAATATATGGTAACACATATGTGTGCTTAGCGTGGTACAGCCAACCATATTTATCAAGCCCCGAATGTTAACATGACCGACTGTCAATATCTTCATAACCACAACCGCGTATCTTCTGAGAATAACCTCTGATTTTTCTGAATCAAACGACTAAAAATATCAGCTACAAAGTTTCACATATAAAGTGACGTTATATGACACGATACGTAGAGTTGACTTATGGATGTTCGGCCCAATGTGGCCAAGTTTTTAGAAATTCATAAAATGCTAGACCGGGGCTCTCTGTGGGTGACACCTGTCGATGTGCCAAAAGTTTATAATGGGGTGAAATCTTTCCCATTGTCACCCCCAATTCCATCAGCTGTTTCCCAGCTAAGATCTGCTTCGGTTCAGGCACATCCACTGTGAACGTTCCGATGAACGCAATGCCGATAGCTCGACTGTTGTAACCGTAGGCGAAAGCACCTTCTGTGTCCCAACCGCGGCCCTCATACACGTTCCCGTCGCCACCCACCAGGAAGCTGTACCCGATGTCGTTCCACCCGTTGCTTTCGATGTGGAATGTCTGAATATGACGCACAATGAACACGCATTCTGCTTGCGTCGAACAGTTGTCAGTGGCTGTGTGCAGTATCACCACGTATGGCACCGGATGCTGAAGTGGGTTGCTAGGCCTGACAGCTGGTTGGGCCAACCACGTCCGTCGATTGATAATTCTCAGCGTCCCACTTACAGCATTGTTTGTCGCTGGAACAAGAGAATAAAAACAAAAGTAATACATGTTCAAATGAAAAGGGTAGGGATTTATAAACCATTTCCATGCTACGCACGAGATATTTCTTATGAAAGTACTGATACTTTCGTCTGAATTTATTCGGTGTTTCAAATGATACTTGAACGAAACGAACGAAACCAGTGAAAGGTACGTGCTGTGACTTTTCAGCAGCATGAATTGGGACCACAGATATATAAAGACGGTTTCTCTGAATGAAAATAATCATGCATGTAGTCTAGTAGAAGTTCATTGACGTTTCAGAGGTACTTGATTCCTAGTAGCTTACTCATCGCTCTTGTGATAGAGGCATCAATAACCTCTGAAACGTCGGTAAACGTTCACCATCCCAGATGGCAGTTACCTTCATATTCGCCGCCGTGAGAACCTGAAACCTCACGTGGGTAGTTACTTCATCAACTGAGCCATTGCAGCTCCCAGAAGAGTGTGTGTACACAATACATTGTCATCTAGATAACTAGTACTCATCGCCTGTCAAAGTTACAGACGAACAAAGACGACAAAATGTCGGATATGATAATTGCAGTGGTAATTATGTTATTACGCATCACTAGAAACAGGAGGGTCTACTGCGCATGTCTTCAGGACGATTTTTTTTTTCCAGCTACTTTTATGTGACCAAACACGTTTGTGTGGCGACAGTGCACTATTGCATTGTGGAGGTACGCTGTTCGAATTTCGGTCGGGTCGCTTTTTGTCACTCTGTTTCTCCAGGCGAATACGTGGTCGTCCCTTTATAAACACCCAATTTCAAACTCTGCAGTTGAAATAACCGAAGCACCAAACAGTGAAAGATGAAGCAAACTGTGCTCTTTACTTTCCTGGCGTAGAAACCCTGCTGCAGGAGGCATAATCAACATTTTATTTTAAAAGATGAAGACGTGACCCTCGGCGTGAGAAAACTTGTGGCAGTCGCAACTGCGTCAGCCTGTTCTCTCATTTGACGTCATAATGCCTAAGATGTTTGTGATTCGCTTTAGCGCTCTTTCTTGCCTTGAACTAGGAAAAAGTCTCACATTCCTGTGGTCTCTGGGTACATGGACCCGTCCCTACCCCCCCTGACGTTTGCATCTGGTGTGTACCACTTGTTTGCATAAATATTTATATCCCACGACGGTCTGCGTTGCAGTTTTACTTCTCCTCAGAATTGTGGTTATCGGGTGTCTGTCTTACAAGAGAAATCGAAGACGCTGTACTTTTGTCCCATTTTGGAGGATCCGGTGTTTGAATCTCGGCCTGGAAGTGGTTTTACGTCATTTATCCAACCTTATTCTGGGATGATATCTTTAACCAGCCACGGTGGTCTAGCGGTTAGAACGCTGGCCAATTACTGCATTCACACACAGAAGAAGGCAATGGCAAACCACTTCTGGATCATCTGCCAAGAACGTATATGAACAGGTCCCAGTCCGAGAAAAGGATGGAAGGATCCTGTTCATATGGACCTGTCGTCAGACAGAACACTACAAATAAATAAAATAAATCTTTAAGCAGGCGATGACGACCTCCATAACAATTCACTGATCGTCATCTCACCGTTGGAAGCAGCTTAAAGGAGCCAGTTTCGATGCCTCGTTATATTACTGCAAGAATGTTGAATATTGATAATGATTAATATTCTCGTAATGGTGGGGGGATTTGGACATCAGATTGAGTCCAGTAGCTTTTGTCTCTAAAAATGCGTATTAGAATTGTGTCGACGAGATTTAGCATAGGGAGTTTACAGCAAACGTTGGTCTAATTTTAATAAAGTTCGGATTCTACTTTTATAGGCGTGTATACGAAAAGATAACGGAAGTTTCACTGGGAGAATGGGATAAGCTTACTCGACTTCGGGAATATGGATTCCGAGAACTTTCTGACTGCAATCACAACAGCTCGTTTTTATGAGGTGACTGACGTTTAGATTTATTTCATAATTCTTGCGTCGCGACGTACCGATTAATGCATTGAGATATTATACCAAATGACTTTTGTTTTTATGAGTGATAAACATGAGTGGTTTAACGCTCTAAAATTACGATCGAAACAGATCCAATGCTTTATTAAAGTTGAACAGCTCAGTCGAGTGGTTAGAATCTCTGCTTCGTATTCTAGAGGTTCCGGGTTTGAATCTCACTCGGAGACCGACTATCCTGACTGAAATTTTTCGTAGTTTCCCCAGCAGCGCCTCCAAGAAAATTCTGACAGTAACTGAAAACAAACCAAGATTCATTCTTCCACATCCTTCCAAATCCATCAGTCGGTCTCAGCTTGCCATCCAATGCTCCATAACCAAAGGAATTGTTTCTGAGAACTGCGAAACTTCTGTGACGTGAGTGCATGCGTATAGGCATTTTTGTAAGTCGGTAAAAATTAGTAAGACTTATCTTCTGTTTTATATAACAGCAGTGGGCGTATTAGCGGCCGCTGGTAAAAAAACCACTCGCTCTTTCTTGAAGGTCAATGAATATTAGCACAGTGTAAACTCTTATGCACTCGAAGATGACTGTCTTCTGGGAAGTTACGTTGTACTCTGGTAGAAGTTTACAGACGTTCAAGATGTGCTTGCTGCTTCCATCATCAGTGAGTAACATCCCGTAGGTTGCGTCCCAAGTCATTTTTGCACTCTTCCTATGCCAGTGGCACGTGATAGGCCATTCTTGCATTAATCTGAGAATAAATCAATGTTGTGCAACAGTGTCTTCCATCAATGACATCAGATAGGTTCTGCTATCTTCTAGTCCGAGGTCCCATTGCTGCCCTTGAGTTCCCTGGGCTCTGACAGTGGGAGCTGTATCTGTTTCCACAAGATGGCGCCGTTGCTTACGATGGGCCCACGGAGACTGGAAAACATCCCGGATCGTTGTATTTGATTGGCGTTAAAATGCGTGACTTAGAGGGAGGCGGTGAGGTCTTGTATCACATATTAAAATTCCAGGAAACGTTCACATGATACAAAAAGCCGTATTGATGCAACCATCATAATTTTATAAAAAATAATCAAATTATTTCTTGTGTTTATAAAAAATATGGCACTAAAATAAGAGTCGATACTATTACATCAGACAACAAAAGTATCCCATAAAGGGACACATTCCTCTGGAGAATTCTGCAACACACATACATCATTTCTTGCAGACACAAATCTGTTGTTTCTCAACTACTCAAATTAATAAAGTCTTCTCGGGCTATCAGACGTGTTAGCTGGTGATCAATCGCCGACGTTTCGAGGACTATTTCTGTCCTCGAAACGTCGGCGATTGATCACCAAATAACACGGCTGATAGCCCGAGAAGACTTCATTAATGAAAGCTGCCGTGAAAGCTTCACATCATATACTCAAATTAAATAGAACCAGAAATTGGACCTATATTTCCTGTTTGTGAAAAAGTATATCAAAGAATTTTAAAATAAGAGCTGCTGAATGTAATGATATTTAGTTGCTGTGCAATTAACTATATTTCAGTCTAAGACTTATTAAAAAAATAAAATAAAATTCCGTCACTTAAACTAGGGATTTTACTAAACCGATAAGTATAAAAGTAAATCCAGTTATTTTTTAGTGGAATTCAGTACAATAATTAGTCTAAATCCACTGAATACATTGTGAAATGATTTTATTTTTCGGGTTCTAAGCCCATTAATCAAGAGAGAAGGGCAGATTTGTTTCAATCCCTCAACTAACGCACAAGAGCGAGTGTAAATGTGGACCCATATTAATGTTTATTGGTCGGACATTGGATGATTATACATTTCTCGAACAACTTTCCTGATCTGACGTCACGTACTGGATCCGGCCGCGACAGACACCAGTTTCCAGATTGACGTCATCAGCATAAAGTTTCAAAGACCAGGTATCGGTAGAGGGCATGGCATTTATGCTTCAGAGATAAAACTCGTTTCCGTGCCACTGTTTTCATTAGCATCTCACGTCTAACGAAAATTCTATTTGGATGGTAAAACACTTAACCACACTGAATCAATTGCATGAGTTATTTAGCAGCCTCTTGAATCAGATGGCATGAAACGGCGAAATGGAATATTACCAACCTTCTCAGACAAGGTAGATGGCAACTCGGCTGAGATTCAAACCGGGTATAACCAGAATAAAATTCTAAAATTTTTACCACACAAAAGTGCTCGATACGGCTTTCTGTCACTATTTTAGTTAGTTGATTTTGGCCTATATCCACTACGAACCTAGAAACCTCGTTGAACTTCTACGTTCAAAGTCGCCATAAAATGTTACTGAGAACTGAAAATGTACGTGGTAGATTGTGAATAAAATGTTACTGAGAACTGAAAATGTACTTGATAGATTGTGAACGCAGGTGATTCACTTTACACGTTCCAGCGAATCGCCGCGTGTATAGGAAACGTGCCCTTCGGATTTTCTAAGTGACACACCATAAGAGACCTTAACTTGCAATGCCCGGAAGCTGCTACCTCGGTCGCAGAGAGGTACTGACGCTCCTCGTATGGCTCACGCGTTCGTGGTATCAACTGTTAAAGTCGTTGCTGAGGATATACGTCAGTTATGGCGAACCTTGTTGTGGCTGTGTGCCAGTAACGAATGAGAATATGTCCGTGTGTCGACGAAGTAATCAACAGTCATTTGAAACGCAATCCACGAATTTCATCCGTGTCATTGTAAGGGCCCTCAAGTGACATACGTGTCACAGGCTTGACATCTCTGGTGTGCGTAATAAGACCTGGAAACTAATCTCAAGAAATAGAAAGCTAATGTAACATCCTCGATTGTCTTCTACCGAAACATTTACCTCGACTGCGAGTACGAGCAAGAAGTACGTTCTGTTATTCTAAGACGAATTGTCGCCGGTCTGATGCCACGAGAACAGTGAAGCTAATTAACTGTAACAAGAAGCTGAGTTGCCTGTTTGCTGCTTTGGATTCAAAATGCTATTTTTAGGCGACTTTGTAAGTGTACTCCCTGGGTTTTCCACGATGTTGAATCGTGAAACCGCAACCGGCCTCGTGCGCACTCTTGTCTGTTTACGATGACTCGTCTAAAAATGTGTCCCTGTCGTGCGCTATTACTCAATTGTCTTCGACATTACGAATGGTCGTTAGCTTATTTGTTTTATTCTTTCTGTACTTTCTAATTTGTGTTTCCAATCGGCACCTCTTTTTTTTTGATACTTTCTTTGTCACTAATTTGTGTTTCCAATCGGCACCTCTCTTTTTTTGATACTTTCTTTGTCTTTTTTCTTAATTTCTATTGTTTTCTTCCGATTTTATTTTGTATTACAAATAAATACCGGTAGCTACATATAATGCGGACTTTGTTGTTGTCAGTGTTGGACATGCGGGTTCTGCTACCAGGGAGATAGTTTACTTCGGTTAGCTGCATATAATTGTTTCACATTTCATTTGGGTATTTGTCCCTTTAGTAATTATTTCTTAATCTTCTGTTTTTCACCATCACTTTAGTTTCCTTCCAATTTTTTGTTCATTCAAGTTTTTATTCAGTACGTTCCTGTTTTTAATTTATGACTACAGCTTTAAATTCACTCCAAAACCTGTATCAGTGTTATTCACATTGTAACTTAATATCATCGGCACTGGAAAAAAAAATTGTCGATGTCAGGCTTCGGTGTCAGCCATGTCGACGTTTTGAGTTCTCCCACTAGGGACTTAGGTTCGTATTTAATTATTTCATTGACATTCTCATTCTACGAGGTGCGATCGGAAAGTTTCAAGACTGTGTCAATAGCGGGCGAACCGGATGTAGTACGAGCTTCTGCCTTTAGGGGGTGCGGCCTACATTCATAGTGAATCAGTGTGCCAGC